GACTGAGCTCAGCAAACGATATTTATTCATCCACGATATAATGTCTGGTTTCACCAATGGAATTCGCAAGGTTTAATAATTCTCTTTTCTATGTGCTGTATTCATAGATCATAGATTTTAACACTATGACTGTTCTTCATATTTGCAACATATTACTGTTCTTGGGGGACTCCAGGGCCCCCAAGATACTTCATATGAAATCTGGACTGTTACAAGAGATAACAAATTAGTGTCTGAAGCAAAGTTGTAATACTCGAGGTTTGCTATAATTTTGTTGCAACAAATATTGCTTATCTCTTATCAGTTCCGCGAAAAACGCGAAAATCGCGAAATTTTTCCACCTCGTTTTAGTGAAGCCGATAAGAAGTAAGAGACTTGCCTCTTCAACAGAAATGTAGAGCAGGTCGAGTACTACAACTTTGCCACAGACACCAAGTCGTTATCTATTATCAGTTTCGCGAAAAATGATTATCAAGAACTCGCGTTTTTCGCGTTTTCCGCGTAATTGATAAGAGATAACGACTTGATGTCTATGGTGAAGTTGTGGTACTCGAGCTGCTCTACAACTTTGTCGAAGATACCAAGTCGTTATCTTTTATCAGTTTCGCAGAATACGCGAGAAACCGCAGAAAACCGCGAAAAAACGCGTTTTTTCCTTATCATTTTTCACGGAACAGATAAGAGATAACCAGATGGTGTCCAAAGCAAAGTTGTAGCTCTGGTCGAGGACTATAATTTGCCACAGACCCCAAGTCGTTATCTCGTATCAGTTACGCGATAAAATGATAAGAAAACATTCGCGTTTTTCACGTTTTTCTGCGGTTTTTCGAATATTTCGCGAAACTGATAAGAGATAACGAGATGGTGTCTATACCAAACTTGTGAAGCAGCTTAAGTACTACAACTTGTCTCCAAGCATCAAGTCGTTATCTCTTATCAGTTACGCGAAAAGTCGCGAAAACCGTGAAAAACGCAAATTTTTTCTTATCATTTTTTCGCGTAACTGATAAAAGATAACGACTTGGTGTCTGTAGTGAAGTTGTAGTACTTGACCAGAACTACAACTTTGCCAAAGACACTATTTCGCTATCTCTTATCAGTTTTGCGGAATACGCGAGAAACCGCAGAAAACCGTGAAAAACGCGATTTTTTTCTTATCATTTTTTCGCGTAACTGATAATAGATAACGACTTGGTGTCTGTACTTAAGTTGTAGAACTCGACCAGAGCTACAACTTTGCCATAGACACCATCTCGTTATCTCTTATCAGTTCCTTTAAAAATGAGAAACTATGAATTCGCGTTTTTCACGTTTTCGCGGCTTTTCGCGTAACTGATAAAAGATAACGACTTGATGTCTACGGCGAAGTTGTAGTACATAAACTAGTCTATAACACTGCTACAGACACCAAGTCGATATCTCTTATCATACATAGTCCAGTTATAATATAAAATAGCCATGGGGCCCTGGAGCCCCCCAAGAACAACAGCGTAACATGTTTTGCGGCAGGCTGTATTTTACACATACTCACACATCTATGGGTGAGATTGAGAGTGGAGTATGTTTTTTCTTCGATTTATATTTTTGAAAAGGCGAGTATGTTTTCTGATGATTCTGTTGGCGTTAAAGTAGAGTATGTTGTAGTACCGTCTAGCCTCCGCGGTCTTCATGGTTTTCGCGCAACTGATAAAAGATAACAACATGGTGTCTTCGGCAAAGTTGTAGTACTTGAGGTCCTCTATAACTAAGCTGAAGACAGTTATCGCTTATCTCTTATAAGTTGCGCGCAAATCGCGCACATAAAAAAGCAAATTTTATATAGAACTTTTTTTTTCTTATCATTTTTCGCGCTTTTCGCGGAACTGATAAGAGATAAGAGATAAGAGATAACTGTCTTCAGCGATGTTATAGAAGACCTCGAGTGCTACAACTTTGCCGAAGACAATAAGTTGTTATCTCTTATCAGTTCCACGGAAACCGTGAAAAACAGCGAGGACCCGCTAAAAACGAACATACTCGCTTTTAACCATTTTTAAGTCGACAGAAACTTGCTCTTCTCTTTCGTAACAAAGTCAATCAAACATACACTACTCTCAATCTCACCCATAGACATATATATATGTTTTTTTTTTCATTCGTGTAGAGAAATGTTCAATCTATACAATGAGACTTAACTCCGGTTGGTTTATACACTGTTTAGTACTTTTATTCAACTTTAAAGTTCGCTGGGGGCCCTGGGTGCCCCAAGAACAATCATAGTGTTAAAAAAAGATCGGGCTAAAACTACGGACGGACAGAAAAAAAATTATCTCAGAATAATTGGTGGAGACGCCAAAGAAATTTTTTAAATCGTCATAACTCATGAACGGATGGTCCGATTTCGACGTTCTTGGGCTTGTTGGAAAGGTCTCGACGAGTAGACTCAGAAAAAACATGTTCCAAGATGAACGGACTGTTTCAATATTCAAGCCAATAATTTATCATATTTTGGGAGCACTAAATGAGCACTAAATCCCTGACCCAAAATGGGGAGCATTTGAGCCCACCCTGAAAAATCGAAAATATGGCTCCCCCAAAAAATCGATGGCTGTAATTTTTTTAGCTATCGATCAATTTTCGATCTGATGATAGATTTTGGAAGCACTAAATGAGCACTAAATCCCTGACCCAAAATGAGGTGCATTTGGGGTTGAAAAAAATGCACCCAATTTCACCCCCACCCTTAACCGAAGGGGTTGTGCAGTATATCTGGGATGAGAGCACAAAATGAGCACAAAATCGTGGTACTATCAGATTTCCGATATCGCAACATGGGAAAAAGTTTTTTTTACTACCCATATTTTCGTCATCCCCCAAAACGCCGATGCCCATAACTCGCTCCCAGTTGAAGCACTAAATTTGAAAATGGTGGCAATAAATAGCACTAAATGAGCACTAAATCTACACATAAGGGATTCGCCATATTCGAAAATTGTCAGGCTGAAGAGTTCTGACCCCTATATATAGGAGCTTTGAGAATTAGCTAACCGTTAATTTAAAGGTATTCAATCGAGCAATATAACGTACCATTTCAAAATCATTCTTTTTGTGATTGAAAACATTGATTTTAACGCTGGTCATATCGATAAATTGATGGATGTAATTCACGTGTCCTACAACTTCCTGACCTCTGTTAGATCTAACCAAATTCATTGCTCCTTCAAACAATTTTGTGGCAATAATTTTGCAGCTTTCAAATTGGTCTTTCCCTGGTCCGGACGCAAAACAAACACCCTCTGATGATGGACATGATGACGTAAGTATATCACAAGGCATACCAGAATATTCGCATTTCGGCCCACTTGTATTTGGCGACGAATCACCTAAATTAGATGATGCGAAAGTAGCAACAACTTTTCCTTGTCCAATCATTGCTCCGGGATTCAGTTTCTCCTCCATGAGGATAGATGCATATCCAACATTGTCACTAGTTACCAATTTGTTTGTATTATTCATTGAAGTTGGATGTACCGCAAACCAGTTTATGACACCAATAAGTTGATTATATTCACTAATAAATCGTAATTGTGTAAGCGTTTTATCAGTATCGTATTTGTACCTAAATAAGAGAAAATAATAAAGAGTTTATTAATGAAGAGGAATTATTTTATTTCAACGATGTATTTGCGAAAATCAGTTGTATGTCTTTTGGTCTCGACTAAATTGTAAGCCCATGTAACAGGGACTTGTTAGATTAGACATAAAACTTTTCTTCAATATCTATGGGTGAGATTGAGAGTAGTATATGTTTTTTCGGATTTACATTTTTAAAAAGTCGAGTATGTTTTTCAGTGATTTTGTTTTAAGGAAAAGAGAGGAAGTTTCTTTCGACTTAAAAATAGCTAAAGTAGAGTATGTACTTTGACCGAGGGGGAAATCACTCAAAAATAATTTCTATTTGACAAGTAGTTTTTAGGTAATTCATTGAACAAAAAGTAATTTTGAATGTAGTTTTTCGACTAAAAATTACTACAAATTACTTTTTATTCGATAAATTACTTTTCTATTAGAAATTACTTGTCAAAAATATATTTTTCTATGATAAAAAGTAATTTGTAATTATCTTCGAAAAAGTAATAGTGAAAGTAATTTGTGAACCGAAAAAGTAATTTTCTAGAGTGATTTTCCCCTCGACTTTGACTGTTTGTGGCTATGATCATAGGTTCTGACATAGTCTGATCTCGTTGATCCTGACCCTCCCTGGCAAAATTTGACCCCCAACGATTTTTTTGGACCCGTTGCCATTTTCGGACCTTTTTTGTTGTTTTAGTCCTCACTTTTTTCTGGATACCGGTTTTACACTAGATAGAATCGATTTTCGAAAGTGAGGACCTTTTTTTTTTTTTTTAGTCCTCATTTTTTTGTGGATACCGGTTTAACACTAGATAGAATTGATTTTTGAAAGCGAGGACCTTTTTTTTTTTTGCTCTTCAAATTCGAAATTGCGGATCGGGGGGGGGGGCCCCCCCGGTCAGCAAATTGATTTTTTTGACCCCCCTTGAATTTTTGGCTTGACCCACCCTGAATTTTTTGGTGTCAGAATGTATGGCTATGATAAAGGCGAGTATGTTTCATAAACCTTAATTTGCGTTAAACAAGAGTATGTATTTTGTTAGTTTGGAATACCAATAAACGGGAGTATGTTTTTCTGACTTTGGTTGTTGGAAAAGGCGAGTATGTTTGTCCAAATTGGTGAATATTATTAATTTATTTGAATTTAAGTACTAGGCAAACATACTAGGGGAATATCACGCTCCTGAATCTTGTGAGATATTTGAGATATTTGAAATAAACATCAATTGCATGACATATTTTCGAATATTTCGAATAAATAAATCAGATTTTGGAGATATTTGAGATTTTTTGCATTAAATCTAAATAAATACATTTAAATATCATTCATAATCACAAAAATCCAAAATATTCCGCCGTATTCACAAATATCCACCATATTTCATACGACAGATTCTTAGAGATAAATTGGATTTTTTTGAAATATTTGAAATAATTTAAGCGTGATATTCCCCTAGCAAACATAATCAATAAAATTTTGCCGCTTGAAAAACTTGACCGCAAAATGTCACATGAACCTCATTGCTGTGAATCCAAGAATTGTATGGGATCAAGGTATAACGGATGGTCATTGAATTGCATATTTTGCCACAAAAAAATATATGTTGAATGCCTGCGCAATCGAGATGCACAACGAACAAAGGGAATGTTGATTAAATTCGGATTGATGGAAAAAATCACAGAGGAAAATGGTACAATCAGCTGGAATATTCAGAATGACACGAACAAACTATCCGAATTCTATTCAACATTCAACGTCGATTCACCGTTTGGATTGACATGTGAGTTCTGCAAATTAAAATTCTCACAGCAACTACCAACAGAGAATGAGAACAGAAATTCACACCAATTGGCCGAAACGAGCAAAAACCAACAAAAGAATATTGAAACACCACAAATATCACCTGTGAACGGTGTATATGCCATTCACGTATCACGAATGCCAAAAGAAACCACAGCCGATGATGTTGCTGCTCTTATCATAGGTAATTTGGACGCCAATAATGATTCTTTTCTTGTTGAAAAATTACCCAACAAACGATACAAAGGAAATGCAAGAAGTTTTTCATCATTTAAAATTTCAACCTTGTTTCGTACGATTTGTGAAAAAATTATCACAATGGACGGATGGAATTCAAACTGCATTTTAAAACAATTCAATCATCCATCGAAAATGCAAAAACCAGTCTTACCAGTTGAAACCGATGCCATGAAAAAGAAGAGACAAAATCCGAAGCCACAACAAAATGTGCAGCAACAAGTCAATTCTAATCGGAATCATCGCAACAACAACAACAACTATAACAACAGAAATATCTATGAGACACATCAAAACAATCACATCGATCGAAGGAGACTTGTCAATGGGAATGGGCGTCGTCGTCATGAATATCGTCCACAATACCGAGAGAGGCAGATACCGGTCAATAATTTCAGACACCATCAAGAACAGCCGTTGCAGCAATTACCGATTAATCCGCAGTTTTTGCCCAACAGCAATTATTCTTTTTGGAATGGAACACCGTATCACATTATGCCACCTCAAATGTACACTCACAACACAATGCCAATACAAATGATCCAACCATTACACACACATCCAATGTACCAGCCCTTTTAAACATATCGAACATGCATCAGGATCTAGATCCTACGTACATCGTCAAATCGATACAAAAATGTCCGTGGAAAAACAAATTTCTCATAACTTTGAAAAATAGGAAGAATAAGGCATGGAAACGCTACAGACGATTGAACTGTTTTTGATTTGAACTCTCTTATTTTGTTTGGTCTGCGACT